CAAATGATAAATTTTAATTGCATCTATATCACTTCCAAAAAAATGACTAGCCATAAGATCTTTTGTGTTTTTAAGGTTTGAACAATCTAAAGTACTTTCATTTAATTGGCATCAGAAAACCGTTAAGAGAAATACGAAGTCTGTCCGGAAAGTATCGGTCCCACCTCTACAACTCCGCGCTAGCGTCATTCTTTATCATCCAGTGCATGGCATCCGTTAAAGTTATCTCCATTAAATCAAACAACACGATTCCAGCGATGTTTTTACTTCTTGAAACAGTCTTGGAACTCACTTTTAGGGATGGCCTTGAGTTCTCCCATCGCATTATTCTCAACCAGCGAGTTGTCATTAAATCGCTATCCTTTAAGTGATTTTTTTAGTTTTGGAAACAGCCGAAAATCCCAGGAGGCTACGTTAAAACTGTAGGAAAGTTGTCGCACTAATACTATACTGTGTTTAGTCAAAAACTGTTCCACAAGATTCAATGAATGCGCTGGCGCATTATCGTAATGAAGGAGCCAGTCACCACTTGACCCAAAGTTCGGACATTTTCTTCTTACTGCTTCACGCAAACGTTTTAAAACTTTAACGTTAAATTGTTCATTGATTGTCTGACCTGTTATTACATATTCATAGTGCACAACACCTTTCCAATCAAAAAACCAGAGGTGGGTCTCGGGACACCTGGCAGAAGTAAAACTTTTAACTCAAATGTTACTAAACTGGCTATAACAGAAACTAAAAAAAATTATTTTACACCTAATTTTAATAGGTCCTTAACCATTCGATATTAAAATAGTAAAAATTGTATTATTATAACGTATTCAAGCACGTTCATGCATAAAATAAATATACTTATGTAACATATGATTTCCAAATTTAAAGTACTTCCATGTTTCCTACGATATATGTAATAATATGTGTACGAGTTGTTGGTCTTGTAATGCAGAATGAAACAAAAGTAGTTTTCACCATACTGCCCCAAAAAAGGTAATTTTGTCTAGTTAGGGGTGACAAAAATTCCTTTTATTTAAATTTACTATTTTCCCATTTGATTCGTGCATTATTGTGTACAATCAACTCTTGTTGGAATCATTGTATCCGACAAATAAAATTTTTATAAAATTTTTGATACCATAAAAGTAAAATAATTAACTTGATCTAATCGAGATTAAGGAAAACGATAGACATACAGCTATTTTCTTGTTTCTAAAGGTAAGGTTGTCATTTTGTACATACTTAATATCTTATGCACGTTTTTTCTTTCATACATGTATAGGTATGAAGATGTGTATGAAATGATTGGGACGTGCAACACGTATATATGTATACAAAATACATATCATCAGTTTAGTGTTTAGTCGTAGCGTATAGAAACATATATACTAACATACCTATAATACATGTATACATTTATAGGAGAGTACCAGCGTCAGGAAAAAAAAGCAAGCGGCGTACATGCGAGTGAAAAAGCGACGGAACGGTAGACAGTAGACTGGCGTGCGCTGTAAAAGAGAGAGACAGAGTGGGAGAAGCAGTGTATAAGAGAGGAGATTGAGGACAGGGCTTGGGCCGCAGGGTGGGTGGCTACATTTTTTCGTAACACATTTTCCCTCACGTGGCTGTTGACGGTCTCACATAAGAAGTTACACTAAAAATAAGCAATTGAATTTGACTTAACATTGCTTCAACTTCGACGTGCTTTTTTGTGTCTTGGTAATCCAGAGTGTTTCCACTGAGAATATTGTTGCTTTGTTTCAAGATCATAACCATAAACCAATGACTTATCACTAGTAATAACCTTTCTGAGCAAAGTAAAATCATTTTTTACCATTTCTAAGTTGTTATACCTAATCCATGAGCACAGTCCGAGTATCTCCCGTGAAACACCTTGCCAGTTTAGCTGACACTCTCTGAACCAATGGTGCATCGGATCCACTCGCCACTGAATAGCCTTTTCCAGGAGAGGACTCTATATTTCAAGACGTCCGCTCCTCATAGGCCCGAAGATGTGTGGGGCAAGGAAGAAACTCTGGAATTACTCTGAAGGAAAATTCCACGGAAAAACCTGCCTCAAAACAGCTGGGGTTACATAGGAACTTTTCCCGATGAAAACAGTTTTTAAAAAAATCTGCATTCACTGGAAATCGAATCCATGACCCCCAGAACAGCGTTGTATCAGTAACATGCACGCTTACCACTGAGCCAACGCCGCTCTGACCATTTCTGAGTTGTCATGTGTGATTTAGAAGTGAAGCTGTTTCTGCTCTGCACTACGCAATTTCTGTATGAACTTCACACACATGCATTTTATTTGTGAATTTGTGGTTAAAATTTTCAAAATTATTGTTTTTGGTATTCCAAGGTTTTTTTCTAGTTCCCACACAGTCATACGACGATTTTGTTTGATCGAAAGTCACACCCACTCAATATTATCCAATGATCTTGTCATTTAAGGTCAGCCAGAACGAGGATTACTATCAACAGAAGTATGGCCTTCTTTGAAACGATTAAATCATTTTTCTATTCGTGTTCTCCTCATACACTCATTTAAAAAAGACTTCTGCATCATCTAAATGGATTCAGAGCTCATTTTTCCGAGCTGAAATCAAAATTTAATACAAATTCGTTGATCTTGCTTTTCAGCCCTTTTGAACAATCACGAAATCTGCCAAACTCAAAAGTAACTTTGTAAACAAAGATACGCTGCGCATGAACTTTGTGTCTGAAAGATATCAACGGGCAACCAGTGAGTTTGTAAGGCTTTACTGTTTACGTTTATACATCACATAGGTCGCTCCAACACCACGCTGGGTAGTTGTAGAGGTAGACTCGATGCTTTCCGGATGGACCTCGTAGGCTCAGCAATCCACGATAAAGCTTTTATAAGTGTCGAAAAGCTTTGAAAATAATGGTTGTTTACAAATTTTTACAAGTAATAATAATTATTCATCACAAAGTGTTATATTTACTTCTTGCAACAAATACACTTAGTTAATAAATACAAAATTTTTTACTATTTAAAAAAAAGCAAGAACTCATTACATCTTGAATTATGCAACACATAATAATCTTAAAAAGAAAAACAATTCAATAAAGTTTTATTGCAAAATTTAGAACATTCTCTGTTAAATCCTTCTACCTCATATGCTGCATCAAAAAATTAAAGCCACTGTTACGTCGATAAAATATTTTAGTATAGCTAAGTGCTTATACAACAGTTGATCTTTTAAGGTAACTAAGTTATTAAAATATAATATAAGAGCAAAAATTATAACAGAAAAAAAAATTGGACTAAAAGTTTTGATTTACAAAAAAAATCTTAAATGCCGACGATGCATTATCAATGTTAAATAAATACAAGACACAGTTTTCTCTCGTGTTACAACTTTTAATAACTACTTAATGAATCTCAAAGTTGAAATTTTCAAAACGTAGGAACTTTCACAAACTCTTATTTTCTCATGGTTTACTGTATGTGCCATTATCGAGATGCAAAAATAAGCATGGAATTTTTTCACAAATCGAACGTAAAAATAATTCAGAAATTGAAAACGTAGTTTGTGGGGAAATTTTTAATCATTCAAATTCTTTTTAAGATGGTTCAGGGGTGGTAATAAAATGCAAAGATCACAACGATGTACAATTTTCTAGATAGTACAGAAAACGTATCAAAAATTGTTAAAATTCATTGTTATGGGTTATTTTTTAAAGAATTATAAAAATAAAAATTATGTGATTAACATAGGCTCTTACGAGACGTAATCCTAATTTTAACATCAACAAAGAGAAAAGTTTTTGGAAATTGCAAAGTTATTGAAAAAACACCTTACTTCAAGTAAATAATTTATTATTTAGTGATTCAGTGAGCTTAATTTTTAAATATGTTATAATGCTTTTTAAAAATACCAACATCGAACGTAAGTTAAATATTAAGCTTATCGGTGCAAGAGGGAATGCGTGGTTAAGGGGCCAAACAAAGTGGTCAGAGAGGACGCCCTCTTCCTTACTCCTTTGAATGATATTTTTGAACATCCTTAATTTAAATTTAAAAATTACAAGACATAATTGTTAACATATTAAGGAATTACTCCATGGATCAGGAAATGAGTAAACATACCTTATAATAGTTAATAATATTTAATGAAAGGAGAATAAGCTTATAAGAACGATACACATTACAGCCAACGACTAACGGTTACTTGCATGCATGACCGTATGCTTCGACGGACAGACGAGATCTGCCTTGCACCCACGTTCGAGCGCCAAGAGTCTACAAATATCTTATGACTGTTGTCTATTTCTTATGGGGTAAGATCCACGGTGCCAAGGTTGACTCTGGGATCAGGACGGGCTCCCATAAGCCCAGGAGTTCAATCGAGAAGGAGAAATCAAGGAGGCAGTGTGTCACTAAAACAAAAGAGACTTTATTAACTGAGCGACTCGTGAGGTGACTGCTCTGGTTGGCAGTCGTACAAAGAAGAAGGAAAACAAAGTGAGCGGATAAATCACTACAGTGAAGAAGCGCTGCAATCGCTGGCAAGCGCGGTGGGCGGAGTTGGTACTGCAGAGTCCTTACATACTCCCCTCCTAGAACAAGATAAATAAAAGCAATAATGCTATCATGCACAAAAAGAGTACGCAATTATAATTAGAGACAACTGGTGGTTGACAGACTAGGATTTCAGTCTTAAAAAAAATGTTTGCGTATTAAAATACAAAAATACAATTTTTCACTACATATTATTATCACGACTGTAATTATACTGATTGTCGGAAGAATAGATTTATAGTCTTATTTTATTTATCTATTTAAACAAAAAAATTCTTAAACGGTATTCACAGCCAAGAATGGACACGGAAAAAAATATACGTACTGAATTAGATACCATATGAGTATGACAAGTACAAAGGTGTATGGAAGAGTCTTAAAACTGATGGCGAAACTTAGCACTTAATCTACTTAACAGAATTATCGAAGGTCACTTTTTTCTTATTACTATAGGTTTTAAGGATATGGATAGGAGGAGTAGAATCTTGAACTCCCTGAGAGCTGTCAGCAAGCACTGGAGTAGCCAAGTCATCAGGGACAAAACGTGCTGGCTTTGAAAGCTCAAGGGGTGTGAATCCTTCAAAAAGAAAGCACGGAGCTTATATCTGCGTGTGATGGGTACAGGTCCGAGTTTTTTTATATGCTCTCTGTAGTTCTCAATGAAAATCTGAGTATCAGCAGTGAAATCGCTGGGAAGAAAGAATTCCCTCGGTACCCTTAGATTTGTACCATAAAGAAAATCCGAAGGGGAAGCACTTGTGTCACTTCTTACTGCCCTACGTAGACCAAGAAGCACTAAGGGCAAAAAATTGATCCAATCTGCATTATTGTGACACATCACGGCCGCCTTAAAGCTACGATGCCACCGCTCAATCATGCCATTAGCAGCAGGATGATAAGCCAACGTTCTTTTTCTCTCAAAACCGAGAAAAAAAAGATAGGCTTGGAAGAGCTGTACTGGAATTGCGATCCCTGATTGGTGGTCAAAAATCTGGGTGCTCCAAAGCGAGCAACCCAAGATTCCTGAAACGCTCGAAGAACCAGTGGACATATCCTTAAGAGGAATACCCTCCACCCACCTAGAGAATCTGTCAATCATCGTGAGAATGTAAGAGTAGCCTTGGGAGGTATTAAGAGGGCCAACCAAGACCATATGGACATGGTGAAACCGATCATCTGGAGCGATGAATTGTAAAGGCTCGTTTTTGACATGTCTGGAAATTTTTTATTGCTGGCAATCGAGACAACCTTTACACCAAGCGGTAATGTCTCTATGCATATTTGGCCACACGTACTTTTGTTTGATGAGCAGATCAGTAACTTTCGTACCCAGGTGAGATGCGGAATGAGTTAAATCAAAAATTTTTCTACGTAGAGATTTACGAATAAAAGGACGAATTATCTTACTAATGAGAGCACAATAAAGACTAGTGTGGCTGTGACCCAATTTAATGGATTTTAGATTGAGAGAATGGGCAAGAGATTTTAGCAGCTCTGAGAGCTTAGAGTCCTGTTGTTGCTCCTTGGCCAGTTTAGGAAGCTCTAACTCAAGAGGAAGGTGAATGACTTCTACTCTAGATAGTGCATCAGCCACAACATTTGACAAACCTGGCAAGTATTCGATGACAGTAGTGAACTGCGAAATAATGCAAAGCTGTCTACGCTAGCGAGGAGAGGCCTTGTCAGACTTTTGAATAAACGTGTAGATCAAAGGCTAATGATCGGAAACGACCATTAAATTACGACCCTCTAAGAAATGCTTAAAATATTTAATAGCTTCATAAATCCGCATGAGCTCACAATCGTACGCACTGTAGTTTTGTTTTGAGCTTGGCTTAATTTTCTAGAAAAGAATGCCAGGGGTTTCCAGTCTCCCTCGAAGAGTTGCTCAAGGGTAGCACCCACGGCAACATCAGAAGCGTCTGTAACGAGACGTGCTTCTGCATCAGAAGATGGATAGACCAGGAGAGTAGCCTCAGCCAAGTGACTCTTGGTAGTTTGAAAGGCTTGCTTGGCTTCTCGAGACCAGTCAATGACTCTCTGATCGTTTTTCTTTGAATCAGCCGTGTAATCAAAGAGAAGGGCCTGTAAGGAGGCTGCCTGAGGAAGCCAACGACGATAGAAGTTGATCAGCCCTAGGAATCTGCGAAGATCTGCAATCGTGACTGGCAAAGGGAAGTCGAGGATGGCATCTACCTTCTTTGAGCAGGGCTGAGAACTCTTGGAAGAAACAATATGACCAAGAAAGACAAGGTCCGTTTTACCGAACTCACATTTAGAAACATTCAGTCTGAGGCTGAACTGTTTCAATGTTCCAAAAACAGTGTGAAGGTGCTCTTCGTGCTTTTTAATGAAAGAAGAGAAGATGAACACATTGTCAAGGTAAACAAAAACAAAGTCGAGATCTACTAACGCCTGGAAAATGTATCTCTGAAAGGACTGAGACGCATTATGGAGCCCAAAAGGCATAAAAACATATTTGTAAGGTCCGGACAAGGTGTTGATAGCTGTTTGAATCCCGTCCGTTGGTGCAATTGGTATTTGATAATAAATTTAAATAAGTTTAACTTAGAGAAGACACTTTTACCAGACAGACGAAGCAAATATTTGTTGATGATCTATTAATTTGTTGTAAAAGTCAAAAGACTGTTGATGTGATTAAGCAAAAATTGTCAAAAAGATATTGCATGAAGGATTTGGTAAAAGTAGAGAATGATTTGGGAATAAACATTAGTTATAATGTGAAGAAAAATGTAATGTTTTTGAGGCAAACAAAATATATTAAATCTTTGGCAAATAAGTACAAATTAGAAAATGCTAAACTATATGATACACTAATGGAAATAAATTTAAAGCTGGAAAAAGTAAAAGATATAAGAAATGATTTGAAGTATAAAAATTTGATTGGCAAATTTTTGTACATAAATTCAGGCACGAAACCTGATATAATTTATAGCGTTAATTATTCAAGTCGATTTCAAAATTTTTATAATGAAGCGCATTAAGTATGCGATGAGGATTTTAAAATACGTTTACGTAACGAGAGATTTAAACCTAATATATAAGAAAAATAATAATACAGATATAGTAGATTGATTTCTTGATTCAAACTGGGCAGGTGACAGCCTTGACAGAAAATCTACTTTGGGCTATGAAATGAGATTTTTAGGTTATGTGGTTTATTGGAAAACGCGAAAACAAAATAATGTAATAAAATCTTCGACTTCAGTGGAGTATGTTGCTTTGTCAGAGGCTGTAAGTGAATTAAAGTTGATAAAAGATTTGGTAGACATTTTTAAGTTAAAATTGAATAGGCCGATAAAAATTTATGAAGATAATTCTGGAGCCTTAAGCATTGCAAAATTTGGAAATTTTACCAACAATTCGAAATTTATTAAGGTGCATTATCATTATATTCATGAAAGTTACTTGAAAGGAATTACTGGTACATGCACTACACGCTTATTCTTCGGCGTGCTGCGTGCCTTTGCACGCCTTGCCATCGCCACCGCTGCCGCTGAATGCTTTTGCACGCTTTTTTAACAGTAGTATAGTGTGTGGACAGTGCAAGCAAGTATAATATTTTATATAAAAGTGAATATGATTTAAAACCAATAACTTTTGTAGTGACATTAGGTGACTCTAGGTTTAAGTGCTTAATTAGGTTAAGTGGTGGTGAAGGGACAGTTGTCCTTTTACCCCTATCCTTAATTGCTGATCTTAGTAGCCAATTACTTTATTTATATCGTAGTGATTAGTACTCTGTGACCTGTATAAGCATTCCAGTAGTATTATCGACTGCTCATTATTTTTGTCACATTAGCGTTTTCTTTTTATTGTAATCTTTGTGTCTGCAGTAGCCTCTTTACAGCTCGCAAGCACACTACACTACTTACAGTTCGGATCAGTGGCTCATTAATTTTGATGTTAGTACCTCTGAGTACATTCAATTCTCTCTTATATGTAACATATTCCCTTTAGTGTATCATATAATTTAGCATTTTCTAATTTTTACTTACTTGCCAAAGATTTTATATATTTTGTTTGCCTCAAAAACATTACATTTTTCTTTACATTATAAAAAATGTTTATTCCCAAGTAATTCTTTACTTTTCCCAAATCCTTCACGTCAAATCTTTTTGACATCTTTTGCTTACTCACATTAACAGTCTTTTGACATTTACAACAAATTATTAGATCATCAACAAATAAAATAATGTAAGCTTTATCTTTTTCATTGCTCAAAGAGCATAAACAATTGTCTACTTTACTATTTTCAAATCCGAATTTTTTTTTTATTCATAAAAACATTTAAACCAAGCTCTAGGACTTTCTCTCAAACCATACAATACTTTTTGCAATTTACATACTTTACTAGAATTATTGTCAAAACCTTGCGGTTGTTTGACGTATACCTCTGATCTTACTTTCCCATATAAAAATGCAGTTTTAACATCCATCTGATGTAAAGTTGAGCCTTCTTGACAGCAATACGATAACAGAATTTTTAAAGTTTGTTCCTTAGCTACAGAAGAATAAATATCTTTCATAATTTTTTTTGTTAAAACCCTCTTACTGCTGACCTGGCTTTAAATTTTTTTTCATCCTTTTTAGAGTAAACTCATTTCATCTAAAACTTTCTTATCTTTTGGCTTATCTGCTAATATCCAAGTCTTATTCTTATTTAAACATTCAATTTAATTTTTCATTGCTCTTTTCCAATTATCAGATTCAAAACTTCTTATAGCTCCATCAAAACTTTTAGGATTTACTGCACTCAAATATTTAACATAAATCGTATTTTATACATAGTTACTATCATATCTTTCGGGACGCTTTACATTTCTTTCCTGTTAACATTATTATCTTCTGAATTTTAAAATTCATTTCCTCTTTCAGTAATATCATTGTCATTTTCATACTTACCATTTTCATCATCAGCATTATTATCCCTTAATCCAATACAATATTAATCTTTGTCAATGACATCTACATGTTTTCCTACGATAACTCTATTATAAATCAAAACTCGATATCCTACATTTTCATAACCTACAAGCATTCCTAAATCGGCTTTTCTATCCCATTTTGACCCCCTTCTCTGTTGAGGTACACGTACAAATACCCTACTTCCATATATTTTTAAATGTTTAACATTAGGTTTCATACCAAAGAACAACTCAAAAGGAGGTTTTAAATCGGCAGTATTTGCAAGTGTCCTGTTCTTTAAGTATGCTGCCGTGCATACAGTTTCTGGCTAAGATCTACTATTTATTCTAGCTTCAGATAACAAACTTCTAGCAATGTCCATAATGCTCCTATTATATCTTTTGACAGTATCATTTAATTTGTGTACATACGGTGGACATGCATCTAGACTTATTTCTTCTTCTTTTGCTAGATCAAAAATTCTTTTATTTATATATTCCTTAACGTTATCACATCCTAATTTTTTTGTTTTTTTTCCAGAAAAATTTTCAACTTCATTCATATATGACACAAAACAATCATTGACTTGATCTTTTGATTCTATTGGATACACTCTGACTATTTTTCTATAGTCGTCAATAAAAGTTAAGATTATTTTTCCCCATTTAATCCAGTAGTATTATGAGGCTCATTCATATCAGTATGTACTATTTTTAAAATTTTCTTGGCCTTTTGTCTTTTATCTTCAAATGGTAAATTGTGCATTCTATTTTTCATATAAATAGCGCATTTTATATAGTCACTCTCAATTTCTTAGGACAGACCTTCCGCTTGATTATTTTTACATAAAACATTCAAATATTTAAAATTTACATGCCCCAAAATACGATGCCATTTTTCCTTTGAAGCTTTGCGTTTAGGTATTTTCCACGCATTTGCAGTTTGTGGCTAATTTCCTTGACGGAATAGAGCAGCTCAACACGCAATGAGCCTCGGGATGGCGCGGCAAAAAAGGTACTCGTCGGTAAATTCACTTCCTACTCTAAACTTAGTTATTATCTACGCACGTGCAGTTTGTGGCTGATTTCCTTGACGAAATAAAGCAGCCCTACACGCATTGAGTCTCGGAGTCGTCGAAAGATTCGCCTACCGTTCTGTGCTCAAGTATTTTTACGCATGTGCCAGGTTTAATTTAATTCTAGAAAAGCAAGCATTATATTTTACAGTAGGAATCTAAACAATTTGTATATAGTAATATTATATATCTGTATAAGTCACAATTAAATGGTTTTGCCTGTACGCAGTTTCTACTTCCCTTAATGTTGCTACGACTAATAAGTTATTTTCTACGTTTACAAGTCGTCATTAATCTTTAAACTAAGATACTGTTACTTTATGGCTTTGTTTATATTTCTGATTATTGAATGTTAATGAATTATAATAATTTTAATTTTTTTGTAGACTTGTCAATTCTTGTTCAAATAGGTGATCATTTACATTCAAAAGTTCCATATTACTCTTTTACGAACTGAATAGCATTAACAGTTTGTGCCTGAGAAAGTTCCTTAGAAAGTCTTGAAAAAGTACCAGAAAAACTTCTGGAAAAAGTGCCTCAAAAAGTGCCAGAAACTATCCCACGTGAAGTACCAAAAAAAGTACATAAAGAACTCCAAAAAAAAAGACCGGAAAAAGTCTCACAAAAAGAACTGAAAAAGGTTCCACAAAAAGTACCGAAAAAAGTCCCAGAAAAAGTACCGCGAAAAATACCGGAGAAAGTACCGGTGACAATCTCGGACTACGTACCTGAAAAAAACCTACAAAAGGAACCGGGAAAAGTCTCGCAAACAAAACCGCTAGAAGTCCCAGGAAAAGTCTCGCAAAAAGGACTAGAGAGAGTCCCACAAAAATTACATGAGGAAGTCCCGCAAAAAGAACCACAGAAAGTACCGGAGAAAGTCTTGAAAGAAGTACCCTTAAAAGTCTCGCAAAATGTACCAGAGAAATTCTCGGAAACTGTACCACCAAACGTCCTGGAAAAGGCACGGAAAAAAGTACATGAGAAATCCCTGCAAAAAGTACCGGAGAAAGTATCAAAGAAGATCTTAGGAAAAAAAATCCGAAAAAGTCCCAATAAAAATACCGAAAAAAGTCTCGAAATCAGTACCGCAAAAAGTCCCGGAAAAAGTACCGCAAATAGTACAAGAGAAATTTCCACAAATAGTACCGAAAAATGTGCAGCAAAAGTACATAAGGGAGTCGCACATTAAGACCACAGAAAGTACAGTAGAAAGTATCGGCAAAAGTACTCGAGAAAATCCCATAAAAAGTACCAGAACATGTCAAAAAAAAAATACCAGAGACAATCTTGAAAAAAGTATCGGAAATAATCCTGCATAAAGTACCGTAAAAAATCCCGCAATAAGTACTGCAAAGTCCTAAGTAATAAATGACTTCTTACAGTGAAAATATTGTCCCTGTAAAAGTTATATATCAATTACGTTGTAACTTAAAATTTTTGACTGTCTACACCAATCGATACTGAAGGAAACTTAGGAGGACTTCAGTGGACTGAAGGGTACACAACGGGACTTTGGAGAACTTTAAAGGTCTTGAGGGGGCTTAGGAGGACTTGAGAGTCTGCTTCGCAGGTCCCTCGGGCCGCAAAATAGCCCCGGAGACGATGGCACTTATCCGACGAAAACTACTTTTTTAATAAGTTCCACAGTCTTAATAATAGCTTTAATTAACTTCTACTTAGTAACCGTTAAAAAAAATCAAAATTAACAAAAGAAATGAAGCCGCCGTATTTTATGTGACATCGTGCAAAATGTTTGCATTAGATGTTTTTTAAATTCAATACCTCCAGTTGTACTGAAAAATATAGTGATAAGGCAATCTCTTGAAGCTGTTGATGATGATTCCATGGAGATGATAGTGGAAGATGACAAGGGGCTGGAAGAGGAAGAAATGCAGGTTGGTTAGTTAGCAAATTAATTAATTCCATAAAATATACGTATGTACGTCTGTATAGGTGCTAATGTGTGTGCGTATCTGTGCACTTGTGCGTAACCGTATTTGTGTGTGACTCTGTGTAAATGTATACGTGTGTGTGTAAATTTATAAGTGGGTGTGTGTTTCTGTGGGTATGTGTTTGTTTTTGTATGCTTGTGTAACTGCACTTAAGTAAGTATAAATACTTGTACGAATGTGTAATTGTATTTGTAAAATTGTACGTATATGAGTGTAAATTACAAAATTTTGTATGTGTGTATGTGTGTGTGTGTGTGTGTGTGAACTAATTTGATTGTAATTATATGTATTGTTTTTTAAGGAACCTCAAGAAGTTCTACATATAGAGGATTTTTGTCATAAGGAGTGTTGGGAGCTACCAGCATGTTTGTATGTGTGTCCCGCCTGTCGAATAAGAATAGATTAGCCTTCTACATTATTATCGTAAAGTTAGCACTAGGAAGATAAAAGTTGTTTTACGTATACATAAATATACTATAAACGTTATAAAAAATAAATAAATTTTTTCTTTCAGTTGCAGTTAATTAGAAAAAAATTAATCGTTTTTTTTCTCTTCTCTTTTTGTTAGTAAATTTATGAAGTATAAAATTAATTGTGATTGCTTAATTTATGTATAAAGACAAAAAAATAAATCGAAGCAAGCAATCATAAGTAGCCTTCCGAAAATAATTTTTTATTTAAAAAAATATAAACATGCCTAATCAAGCATCCCACACAGCCTCAATAAGAGAAGTAAAAAAGTATAATTAGCTGCGGAATTTTAAAATCCAGAGCAATTTTAACATCGATTTTAAGACTTGTGTTGCAACTTATTTAGAGACTAATTGTAAAGCATATTTCCATTAAAGACTGAATATTAGTTTGAAATGTGACTGACATTGAGAATAAATTTAATACTTATTTTTGTGACTTATTTTTAGGCTGCCTTCTATACTTATTCTGTGACCTGTTCTAAATTTAATATGTCATTTTTCAACATTTTTATCTCGAATAAGCACTGAACTCATAAAAAATGCCTACGCGCAGTTCATGTATTTTATTTGTCTAAAAGTACCTTTTTTGTCACGCCTGCTCAAGGGTCCTAGCACGCCAAGCAGCGCAATTTTGACATCCAATAAAATTTTAACATCGTTTTTAAGACTTGTGTTCCAACTAATATAAAGAATAATTATCAGACGTATCTTAAG